CACTATGCAACATTTTTCAGTTAATTAATGTGTTCCATAACGTTTTGGATGATTAAATGAGTCATTTCAGGTCGAACAAAGGTTTTCTCGGCCGAGTACGTGCTCGCGTTCTCGTCAAGTCCGATCTTCCTGCGTTCTCGCCAAGAACGGACTTGACGAGAACGCGGGTACGTACTCGGCTGAGAAAACCTTTGTTCGACCTGAAATGACTCATTTAATCATCCAAAACGTTATGGAACACATTAATTAACTGAAAAATGTTGCATAGTGTGCCTTTAAGAGAAATTATTCATGCTTAATTAAGTATTTAGATAATGGAGAAATCATCTGTGGCAGTTAGATTATAGGTTGATAAACTCAATAATATCAAGAGAAGACAGACCTGACTTTAATTAGGGTGTATGAACAGATGGGAGGATTACGGTTATGGAAAATCAAGGAAACCACACAGCTAAAATTTTTGTTTCTTTTTATTTTTGTTGTTTATTTGTATACATATCTTTTATTTTTACTTTTTTTGTATATTCAGCTTTTATATGCTAGCAAACATATTGGTCATCTTATTTACATTAGAAAACCTTCTTTGACCAAAGTGGTGGTTAGTAGATGACTGTTTTTGTATGTATTCTGTAAAATTAATATTGTAAAATAAAATAAAATATAAATAAAAAAGATCTGGATGAAGGACGAGACCTCTGGGAAAATATTCTCTGGACAGAGGAGACATGAGCGCAGACTTTTGACAATAATGGACACGAAGAATCCAACATCGGTGGATCAGCAGAAACCATCAGCTCCTTCAAGGAATGAAACACAGTGGTGGAGAGATGATGATGATGATGATCTGCAGCCTCATTGACTTACTTAAGCTGTATGTAGGGAGTGAATTTTGTTCCATTAATTTTGCAAGCAAACAACACATTTTTTAAATGGGGGAAAAAAAGATACAAACCAGAAATTAAACTTAGAAAAAATTTGTAATCTAAAAAACTTTTTTTTAAGTAACTTTGCTGGTTTCTCTCTTTTTTTTCCTTCTTCTTAGTTTAATTAAAAATGTGTTGGTTCTGCTTATTTATTTGCCTTCTTGGAAATAGTTGCATTATTTTTAAATTGTGTTTTATAGACCACGTTGTCTTTCTTTTAAAATAATGCAATTTCTAAAAAGTAACATTTTTTTCCTCAACATTTGAGGAAAAAAAAAAGTTAAAAAAATAAAGTTTTAAAACATTTATTTGAAATAAATAAAAAATTTATAAAAGAAAACAGAACCCCCCCCTGAAAACTCTTTTTTCAATATGATGTTTTTCAGACTTTCATTTGTGGATTGCCTTTTTTTAAATTTCCATTCATAAAACATGTTCTTTGCAACAATAGTGGAACAAAATTCACTCCATACATCTGTATTACAGCTAGGACGCTCCAGCCTAAAACTGACCGGATGAATCTCAGCGTGGGAGGTGGGAGTTAACGCCTCAGCCAGAATTACCCATAACAGTCAATATAGAGGCTGCACTAAGCGATGTTTTAATGATGTTTTATGCCGTAAATTGGGCTGTCCTGCTGTCCTGCAGTCATTAGGTGGACCACGACCACATTGATTAATTATACTAATCTAGAGTCAGACTGGGGCTCGGACCAAACTGGGTCATTAACAGAACCAACATCCTAAACACAGATCCACAACAAAAAAATCAAAAAGGGAAAATGTTCAAGTTTTTTAGTGGCCTAGTCAAAGTCCAGGCCCCAGTTTGGTTAAAGTAAAGCTGCTGAAGAGTTAGTTCTGTTGTTTTTCATTACCTGAGGTTATATTTGAACAGATTAAGAACCTGGAAGCAATCATTTAGTAATTCGGAAACCTGAGAGTTAAAAGAAAATAAAGCCTGTTCTGACACCACTTCTAGTCGCGTTCCGACAGTTGATTCAGTCCTTTTGGTTTCTGAGTGAAAAAAACATCCTTCTGCACAGTTTTTAGCTTAAGGGAAGTTCTTATAAATTGCATCTTTATAAAAACAATCATCTGAAACAAGAAAAGCTTTGAGTCGGACAGAAACGAAGTCCATCTGGAGGAGTTGAACTTTACAGACACACTTTGGTCTCAGCGAAAAGTCTTTGGATGGGACTCCGTCCTGAATGGGTTACAGTTCCTGCCGGTCGGCGTTCAGGCAGACATGGGTTCGTATGTGTGGAAGTGGATTCCCTTTGAGCAGGTGATCTTCATCACGGCTCCGTTCAGGCTGCTGTCTGTGATCAGCCTCATCATCCCTTCAGCGATTAGCGACGGCCTGTGGAGGAAAACACACAGAGACAACGAGACATAAGCAGCGATGCGACAAAGTTCTGCTTCCACCTGCTTCATCTGCTGTCAGGACGCACTAAACAGATTTCACAAACAAGTAGGCTTCATCAGATAGTCCTCAGCTGTCCATGCTTTTCTCTGCTGCGGCATCTTAGTGGGTCCAAGAAGTTCTGCTGCTGGACACACACCCTGTATGGAATGAACTTTGCTCCACTATTGTTGCACAGAACACATTTTATAAAAGGTAATTTGAAACTCCAAAAAAAAACCTAATAAAAAGAGTAACTTGAGAGTAACTTTGCTGTTTTCTTAGATACATTTATTTTTTTTAATTTAATTTTCTTAAACTTTTTTTTTTCCACTTTTTTTTTTTTTTTTTACGGATTTTACATTTTTTAAGTGTATCTTTTTCAGACTGAGTTTTACCAATCACATTTTTTCCAAACATTGTTTCACAGATCACATTTACACTTCAAGGCCAATACAAATGCTCACGCCAGAAGAAAATGTGGGATCTGAAAAAAGGCAGTTCAAAAAGAATGAAATTCATAAAACTCAATCTGAAAAATAGAAAATGTAAAGAAACAAAATTGGAAAATACAAATTCTGTTATAAGAAATGGATAAAAATATAATATGTTAAAAATTAAATAATAAAAAAAAAATCAAAACAGTTAAAACTGCAATTTAACTATTAAAAACGTTTTTGATTAAAATGTTTTTCAAAGATTTATTTCTGGATTGTATTTCGTTTTTTCCTATTTCCATTTACAAAATGTGTTCTTTGCAATAATAATGGATCAAAATTCACTCTGTATTCCTGAAGCTGGACATCCTAAATTTAAATTTATCAAATGATCCAGAAAGCTGCTCTTTCAGCTGCATGTGAAGCTGATTTGATGCTGCAGCTTCTCTCTAGACCGAACCTCCCCTACAAGGAGGAGACCATGATGTCAGAAGACCTCAAAATGGTTTACTAAGACGTTTGGTTCGTTCTTTGGTTTTTCTGTTTCAAAACAACATTGCAGCAAGAATAATCTTTGGTAATTTCTGTTTCTACAAAAAGGTCATATATGGTACTCCATCAAAAAAATATTAAGCATGTCTTTAACAATTTAAACAAGAAAAGGCAGCCTTTTAGGATTTTGAATTTTTGTTTTTATAATTTAATATAAAAAACAAACAACAAACTAAATAACCAGCATTTTATTAATTAAATTAAAGTAGTATTACTTGTTTTATGTTGAAAAAGAAGAACCAAAGAATCTTACAGAGCTCTAAAATAAAGAAACTGAAGATTCAGTAAAAAAATGATCATATCTTAACTATAGAAATAAACAGCCAAAATAGAAAACTGTTCTACATTTTTATGTGTGATGCAAACTCTGGTTTCCAGTTTGAGGATCAGGAAGGAAAAGAAACAAAAAGTGAAGACCAGCCGCTGTGTTCCTGGGTCATTGTACTGAATGATGATGGCCTGAAACAGAAAAGCTGGACTGAACTAAGCACCGCAGATCTGAAGGGAGTGGGTCGCCCCGGTTTTTATTTAAGGGTATCCAGCAACCTGTTTTTAAACTGATGCATAACAGAGTTGATTCTTCAAAAACCAGGCGTGGAGGTGGAGCTAGAGGAGAGCACTGAGGAGATGTTAAATTGAGGCCTTTTTGTCAGATTGGAGACGTTTCAAGGCTAAATAATCAGGAACTCTGATTTAATCCTGAAGTCAGGACGTGTGGCTAAACCTACTGTAAAACTCCAAACTTGCTCATGGTGCGCTTGAAGTCGTCCTTGAACTTGACGAATTTGCCCATGTTGTCCTCATATTCCACCGTGTGCAGCAGAGGGGTGTCAACGAAGGCCGGACACAGGGCGTTGATGCGGACACCGTAGCTGCCCTGCAGTGAGGCGTCCTGCAGAAAACAAGACAGAGAGCTGCTGAACTGTAAACCAACACAAATAGCTTGACCTGTTTGTCCTGCATGCTCCGCTCACCGCCATCGCCCGCGTGAAGCCGATCACCCCGTGTTTGGTGGCTGTGTAGACGGGCTGATGAGGGGAATGTAGGAAGGCTGAGGGAAGAGAGGAAGCAGAGAGAAATCAGTCTCATTTAGCTGCGTATGAAAACAGCTCAACCTAAAGGCGGCAGCGCCACGCAAGATTTTATGGAGTGAATTTTGGTCCATTATTGCAGAAAGCAGAGAAAATATTTTGTAAATCGAAATTTGAAAAAAAAAAATGCAATCCAGAAATGAAATATTACATTTTTTTTTTTCTTCCAAAAATATTTTCATAAATTTAATTTTTTCAAAAATGTTTTTCTGATTTAATGCTTTTCTTTTTTTGTTTGTTGTTTAATCACATTTCTGGTTTGGAAATTGTAACATGTTTTTACACTTCATGTACATTCTATTGGTCAACGTACATGATTAGAGCCAGCGTTTGTTTTGAGCCAAAGGTTTAGAGCAGGGATGTCAAAGTCAAATACACTGAGGGCCAAAAAACAAATTTGCTACAAGCCGAGAGCCAGACTGGTTAAATGTTTATTAAAACATATTGAAATGAAAATAGCCAAAAACTAACACAGAAATACTATCAATATTATAAATAAACTTTTATTATATTAATAAACTTATTAAGATAAATACATAAATGAAAGTGCATGCATTAAAAACCAAAAATCCATTACTGTGCTGAGCTATGATCCTACCTACCCACCTATCACTGCTTTGAAATAGTAAAATAAGAAAAAACAAAATCTCTTGCATTCTCAGTTGTATCAGTTGTAGCCTATTCTCTCTCCTGGCTCCTATCTGCCTTTTTCCCTGAATTTATTCAACTGAAAAATAAGAATAAATAAAATAAAATGCAAAAATCTATGGCACACAGACAAAACGAAACTTCCTTAAAAGAAAAATCACGTCTTGTACAAAGAAATGTAAAAATCTTGTGATGAATCACGGCAGCAGACCCAGAATTCAGCCAGAGGTTCTTTAAAAAAGGAATTTATTAAGCAAAAAACTGAGCAATAACAAAAAGGACCGAAAAATCAAAAAGACTACAGACTACAGGTGTCAGCGGGGGCTGATTGAAGCCAAAATAAAAGGAGCCTGGATGGAAGGAGAGGGGACTGATCCTGCAGGTGATAGAGACGGACACGCTGCTGAGCGAGCGGTAGATGGGATCTGCACGCCATAAAAGAAAAACACAATCATGTTTTAACCTGGGAAGGTAGTGTTGGTGCTTGCAACACAACCGCACCAACACTACATTCCCCACAATGCAACGGTAGCCCGTGAAGCCACAGCAGCGCACAAAAGCGGCTGTGGCCTGTGGGCCGGTTCTAAAGGTAATTAAATATCATCCAGGGGGCCACGGATAAACAATATCCACAGCCTTGACTTTGACAAATGTGGTGTAGAGGATGTGAGCTGTGAAACAAATTTTGAAATTAATTAAATTCATAAAACTCAATTGGAAGAACAGAAATTTGAAAAAATTTAAAATAGAAAATCTGTTAAAAAAATGTTTTAAATACACATAATCTGAGAAAAACTGCAAACTTAGACTGGAAATCTGTTTTTCATTAGAACATTTTTTTAGTTTGATTTCTTTCCTTGCTTCTAATAATAATGGAATAGAATTCACTCCATAAAATGTGCCTTTTATAACTACTTTTACAAAACGTTTAAAGCGCTTCATGACCTTTTCCACTTTGACACATTTATCCAGCTTCCAGCAGCTGTTTATGTTCTTTGTGAAGATCATCTGCTTTTGATTATCATCACAGGGATCAAAAGCTACCGAATGTCAGCAGGCGGGTTGCAGCATGCCACCACCATTGCACTGAGCTCATCTGGAATTTAAGCTTTCAGTAATTTTTGGAGTTCTTCTCTGTCCTTCAGGAAAATGCTGCAGCTCACATCTCCAACCAGACATGAACTAAACCAAATACTAGGCCTGTATTGTCCTAATTTTGAAATCTAAACCCTTAAAGTTTGAACTTAGCACCTCAAAGTTCAGCTGCAGAAATAAATGACTAAAAAAAAAACAACAACAAAAAAACCAGGAACCACCAAGTCCGATGATGGACATCTCTGTAAGCACACATTCTTTCTCCCTTAATCTGTTCGCTCAGAGGTATTTGTCCATGTCTGGACATGTTGGAAGAATGGCAGGTATGATAAGTTCAGAGGACTTAGGTTGTACCTGGGGAAGAAAACTGTCACCTGAGGGTCAGGTCAGGGTATGCATGTGAAAGAAGGTGGAACAATGCAGGCAAAACCTGCAGAAAAAACCCTTAAACACCATCAAATTTCAGTTTCAATCTAAAGGTTTAACAATAATCAACCGAAACCTGAAGCTACCTGAGTGACGCATTGTTAAAGAAACAGAATAATGATCCTGGAAACTGACAAGTCCCGCTGAATGAGGAAATGATTCGGTATATTCTGCAACACAGACATGCAAACAAAAGCTGGGTCAAAGGTCACAGCGAGGATCCTAACAGAGATCTTTATTTTAAGGGGACTGAGTAAGCTGAGGTGCAGGTCCAGGTCCATTCAGGTCACAGAGGAGGGATTCTGTCTTCCCTTCATTACCTTGGCGAACATTTGTTTTCCTCCATTTTAAAGTCCAAACGACTTTGCATCATCTCTATCTCAGAAAGCTTTTTGGAGAAATACAGCTGAATGTCATCAGCATAGAAGTAGCGGAAGAGAATTCTAACTTTTCCTCTAAAGTAAAACCCCATTTTTGCAATCTCTATGTGATTTATAGCTCATATTTAACCCTAAGCAGTAAAACTGCTGCTATATGAGGTTAGTAGCTGATTTCTTAGCATTAGAGCTGCTGCAGTGAACTGTTAGTCTGCAGCGGTTAAAAACGATATCCAAACTTTCCTTTACTCTGCGCTTAGTTTAAAATCTCAACTTTTAATAGCCCCCAAACAGACAAGGTTTGAAATGGATCTGATCCATTTATTTATCCTTTTTTATAAAATCATGTGTTGCAATCTGCTCCCTGCTGGCTTTCTTCATTTCTGATTTCAAGCAACCTTTATTCAGTTAATCATGAATTTAAAACAGGTGCAAAATGTTCCATTAAAGAACATAGCTTTTTCCCACCTGGAGGCTGAGATCAAGCCATCTTCTCATCTGTGGACGATTTGTTTTAATCAACAACAGCGACGAGGAAGTAATTATATGAAAAAGGAGACATACTTTCCTGCTCAGAAACCTCAGAGTTCTAACCGCAATGCAGAACAAGATCACAGCTTCTGCATGTCTGCATAGCATCAGTCTGAATGCAAAGTGATAAAAGCTCCAATAATTGAGCAAAGGACGAGTTGCATCGTTTTGGTTTGTGCTCAAGCAAAACCAAGGAGGGAGGAAATAACCCTCTGATCACCTTCTGGCCGTTCAGTGACTGCAGACAGATGGACAGATTAGGCCCCATGAACATTACAGGACGATTATCTAAAGCTTCCTGTTTGCTTAGTTTCAGGGTCATGAAACTCGCTTTCCTTCCCACAATGCAATGGGTTCAGAGCTCACTGCCAGTCTGGTGCTGTTTCCTCTCACAGAAAATAGATAGATAGAATGATCCAGCTTCAATTTACAGAAATGCTTTGAACCATCCAGAGTCCTGGTCCTGACATCTGCAGGACTTCAAACTAAGTTGGATGTTAAGGAAAGTCTGGTTTATTCTGGTCCCCGTCCAGTTTTCTGGTCTCAGTTTTATGAAGTCTGAATTCTGCCAAGACTGTAATAAAATCTCACAGAAGCATCTTTATTTTCAACACAAACACATAAACGATACCGTTATAAACACATGATGCTGGACATATAAGGAAAAACGCTTAATAGTATCTGCAAACAGTAAGAGTAGATGACTCCGTTCTGCTATAAACCAGGGTTAATTCAAAGCTTGCTTTCCTCAACGTAAACAATCAAGTTAACGTCAGTTTAGAGTCTATGGCTACTAATGTCACAACACATTCATGATTGTGTTAAACTGATTTACTTAATGATGCCCTCACTTAACTGGTTTTTAACTCTTTAATACGGAAGGTTTCAACAGGGGGTCCGTGACCTCAAGGGGGTCCACGGAGGTAGTGCATGGGGGTCGCAAAAGTATTGGTTGATTAGACTTTTTTATATATTCCCCCCTGCAATTTTTTCCGCTAATTCAAATGTCTTTAAATCCACATTAACATGAATTCAACACACTGCGGTAAACAGATAAATGGAGGCAGAAGATTTCTTTCAGTCATCAATGCACACATTCAGCGACACACAGGAGCTCTTTCATAGCCTGGGTGCCATTCCGAACTAAGTCCCGCCCACAACGTTTGAGGTCGGGAAGTTCGGTCTGGCATTGCTCAATAGTAGCGCGAGTATGCTCGCACATTATCTGGTCGGGCCAATCAAATTGTCAGGGCAGGCTTTATATGATGATGGACAGATGATCAACAGTAACGTAATCAACCACGTGACCAAAGCGCGCTTGGGTGACAAGCTGGAGAGTTGAGGTGTGTAGATTCCGCTATTAGGTCTGTTCTAGAAGATATCGACAGCAAATTAATTTTAAAAGAGGAACAGAGAAACGCGATCAAGGCATTTGTTGAAAA